TGTGTGTGTGTGTGTGTGTGTGTGTGTGTGTGTGTGTGTGGACAGTAAGGCTTCTGGCTCTGTTGCAACCTTTGTTGTAGTAAGATGGGAAAAAAAACAAAGATGTGAGAAAAACAGAAAATGATGAGAGGCGAGATTTCAGAGTTCAAAACAGGAGCACAGAAAGTGGAGAATAAAGACACAAAAGGGAAAGTGAGAAGCCTGTCTGCATTGTCGGTAATATTACCCAAGAAAATATTAGAGCAGAGCTGTCTGGCTGGCAAAGGACACACTTGCAAACATGCACACGCACATTGGCAGATATAAACACTTTTTGTGTCCGGACCCACGAGGGCCCAGCTACTTGATACTTGGTGATCTGAGCTGCAGGGACAGAAAAAGGAAGATTTTCATCCTGAACATACTTACAGGTGCTGTACTCACATACACAGACATACTGAACTTATACAATCCATGTTTATTTTGAATAAGTAGAAAAAATGTTGCATTAAAAACAATCACAGAAGCTAAAAAAAAAAAAAAAGACACTACCCTACTGCAAATGGAATTTTTTTGTATCATGGATGGGCATAAAATATATAAGCTGACCGCTCCAGACCACTTTCTATAAGACTGCTCTCTGCAGATGTATGTGTGTGTTTAACTGAAAAGGGATGAAAGGAAAGAAATGTGGAAATATGGAGGAAAAAGAAAGGAGGGTGGGCAGATGGAGGAGGAGGAATGTATCATCTTTGCTAACCAGATTACTTTACTATGTATGAACAAAACACTTAATCCATTTGGCATCTCTAAGCTGCTTAACACTGTAACCTAAACTGTTATAGAGACACTCACAGACAGCTGCAGCACCCATCAAAGCTTTAAGGGCAACACAAACTCATAAACACAGTAAGATATAAAGAATACTTTATAAACTGCTCAAAACATTACTTCAGAGTAGCCGATGTTTTTCAGAAGGCAATAATAATTATTTTGCACAAATGACTCATTATTGAGGCTGTACACAACATGGGACTCATGTCCCTGTTCATGTCAGTCTTGTTGAAGAGGAAACATAATAAAGGTGCCGTTTTCAAACCGTTGTGTCCTTACAGTCGCTCATACAGCAACCTGCCCAACTTTCACCAGTTATCTGTGTTCACACCTTCCCTTTATTCAACATCTCAGCCTGCCGCACAGCTTCTGATTTCAACACTTTCCTTTTACCATCGCTGTGTATTAGAGATGGACCGATCCGATATTAAGTATCGGTATCGGTCCGATACTGACGTAAATTACTGGATCGGATATCGGAGAGAAATAAGAAATGTAATCTGATCCATTAAATATCAAAAAAGCACCTCACAAAACTTGCGACATGACGTAACTTGGCTCATAACCGTAGCACGTGGGAGCAGTGTGGTCACGTGATAGAGCGGCTGTGTGTGTGTTTGGAGCCTCGCTACCAAACTCCGAGGAAGTTTTCCCAGAGAGAAGCAAGTGTGTAAGTTCATCTCTGAATGTTTGTAAAGCATTCCCACGTTGAGCTTAACAACCGATATATGGAGCGACTGCCTC